GTTCTTCTCCGTGAGGAGGTCTTGAGGTCTTCCCGTTAGGGGTCTTGAATCCAAGTGGATCTTCTCTGAAGAGGTGACGGTCCCTCGCGATGGAGTAGATCCGGATGGATGAGCGAAGCACTAACTCACATATGAGCTAACACAACGCTAACCCTAAAATGGTGGAGGTGGAGGAGTATATATAGTCTAGGGCCACGAAGGGGTAAGTGAGGGGCGAAACAACTACATGGGCCTTGGCCCGAGTCTCTGCGCGCAGGCAGGCCAGAAGTTCCGGGCAGGGACGGAAGGTTCGGGCTCCGGAAGTTCCGAGAAGGGTCCGGGCATGGTCCGGGCTGGACAGAGAGTTGGCGCGTCCGTGCGTCGCCTGGAGTGTCGAGGGCGGGAGGTTCCGGGAGGGCTGGAAGGTTCCGGGAGGGCTGGAAGGTCCGGGGGCTGGAAGTTCTGGGCAATGGCCGGAAGCTCCGGGCTGAGTAGAAACCTTGCGCAAGTCTTGACGTTGGTTGCTCCTCCTCCTTCGGGATGGTCGATGTACCTGATCACACATAGTATCCCTGACTTAGGTAGCAACCATGTCTCACTCGAATGGAAAGGGGAAGCGATTAGGAAAGGGTTCACCTTGTGTCTGATGGTGTATGCTTGAGGTTGATGTCTTGTTGTAGTGTACATGGGGATAATCGTAGGATGCTCCACATTAATACATCAAATAGGAAATCGCGGACAGGAGTGCTAGCACGGGCATGGTCCGTTTATTTTTTTTGTAGTTTTTCTTATATATTAGCCCCCCAAACCACCCAAATAGACCCAAAAACTTCCTACATTGAGACGGACTGACGGGCTAAATGTGCGGGTGGACCGGCGTGTTTTCTTGTTGCGCCATGCCTACCAAGGGAGCACGACACATGCCGTGTATAGGCGCGTGCTGTGCCTGGCCCGTTTAGGCCAGGCCGATTTGGCCAGGTGCCCATGTCTGTCTCTGAATGACAATACTGGTGCTCAGACGACTGGACCGTGACGACTATTTATCTCTACTCCTAATGGAGTAGTTGGTAGTCTCGCTTCCAGGTTTTTTTTTCGTCCCACCACTTTCGTTCGGTTTTTTTTCGTAGGTTAACCGTCGTAGATTTTTTTCGTCGCCTCCCCCACTTCATCGGTTTATTTTCACTTCACCCTCTCACACAACGAAAAAAACTGAACGGATCAGAACTTTCCATGCCGACGTAAATTATTTAGTAATGTCTTTATGTAAAAGAATCAATCACAATCAATCTCTAAAGATCGAATCTAAATTAATTAATCTTCATAACGTTTGTTTTCTTCCGAATCACGTCCATAATTTTCCTTCCTTGTTTGGGCAGAAACTGTTTGGTAGCAGAGATTAGGAAGCTTCCTATGAGTGTATTAATAGGAAGTACTTTTTTCTTGATGATTCGTTTCCATGCATGATGATAGTAAATTAGGCCAACATTCACCACTATTTATCAACGTCATCAATCGTATCCATTCCTACCAGTTTTAAGGGAATCTGCTCGCTATGTCTTTTTTAAGGGGATCCGCTCGCTAAGTCGTCGTCGCACGTTATTTTCACAAGCAATTCCCCTAAAAAAAGGCATGGGTATTGGTAGTTGAACGCCCGCTAGGTTTTCCGCCTGTCCCATCCTCGCGCTGTGCCGCCGCCACCCGCCTAATGGAGGAGTTGGTAGTCTCGCTTTTAGGTTTTTTTTTCGTCCCACCACTTTCGTCCGGTTTTTTTCGTAGGTTAACCATCGTAGATTTTTTTCGTCGCCTCCCCCATTTCATCGGTTTATTTTCACTTCACCCTCTCACACAACGAAAAAAACTGAACGGATCAGAACTTTCCATACTGACGCAAATTATTTAGTAATGTCTTTATGTAAAAGAATCAATCACAATCAATCTCTAAAGATCAAATCTAAATTAATTAATCTTCATAACGTTTGTTTCCTTCTGAATCACGTCCATAACTTTCCTTCCCTGTTTGGGCAGAAACTGTTTGGTATACACGATTAGGAAGCTTCCTATGAGTGTATTAATAGGAAGTATTCTTTTTCTTGATGATTCATTTCCATGCATGATGATAGTAAATTAGGCCAACATTCACCACTATTTATCAACGTCATCAATCGTATCCATTCCTATCAGTTTTAAGGGAATCTGCTCGCTAAGTCGTTGTCGCACGTTATTTTCACAAGCAATTCCCCTAAAAAAAGGCGTGGGTATTGGTAGTTGAACGCCCGCTAGGTTTTCCGCCTGTCCCATCCTCGCGCTGTGCCGCCGCCACCCGCCGAATTTCCAGCCGCCCGAGCCCGTTAACTTCGCCAGCCATCGGGTCGACTGCCCCCGCCCCAAACCCCCATCCCCGAGCACTAGCTATCGCCGCGTTGCCACCCCAAGCTCCACGCCACCGGGAACGAATCAAGCGCCATCCCGACACCGCCGTCGCCGGCCCAGCACCTCCAGCCTTGCATGGACAGCTTCAATATGCAGTCTCCTTGCTGCCTCACCTTCTGCCAGCGCATGCAGCGGCGGGGTTGGACGCGTGCGTGCTTGCTAACTTGCTCTCTGTCTTCTGAGGGGGTGAATGCAAAGCAGTCTATTAAGCCAGGCACTATTGCTGAGCTAAATTGACAAAAAAAATATTGGTAGCCATAGTTGTAGTTTAAGTAGTAGCGAGTTGTCTGATATGTATAAAGAGCCCGTTGCAACTGAGCCCGTTGCTAAATTGACAAAAAAGGTTGCCAGTGTCACTTGATATGTATGAGAATATTAAATGTATTATTAACATGATTAATATTGAACTCTTAACCCTAATGTGGCCCCGTTGCAACGCACGGGCGTTCTTCTAGTCTCCTTACGCGAGCACACGGGGACGTATCACTGTAGGTGTCTACTAATTGGGTCGTACATTCACGTGCAACTAATGAAAAAAAAGGAGAAGAGAAATGGAGGTGCTTATGGGAATTGAACCCTACTCCCCCGATTTAACAGTAAGTGTGGCTTGCCATTGTGCTAGGTTAGTGTCTGTGATATATGAGTAGGGTGACTGTTCTTGACACAAAACAAGCCACACTCTTCACTGTTTATTCTCCGTTTTATTTCCAGTTTTTTTGGTTTTCTCTATTTTTTTTCTTTGTTCATTGTTTTCCCCCTTCTTTGTTGTCTTTCTTTAGTATTTTTCTTTTTTTTCTTTTCCATTTTTTCTTTGGGTTTCTTTTTACTTCTCCTTTTTTGGTTTTTCATTTTTATATGTTTGTTTTCATTTTCACTGCACATTTTCGTATATGTCAAAAACATTTTTTATAGGTGATCAACATTTTTTTGTATACATGTTCAACATTGTCTGAACGCTTATTCAACATTTTAAACACTTGCTCAACATTTTTCAAATACATGTTCAACATTTTTCGAATACTCATTTAACATGTTGTTAATACTTATTCAACATTTTCAAATACCTGTTCAATATTTTAAATACTTATTCAACATATTTCAGATACTTGTTCAATATTTTTCAAATACTCGTTCAACAATTATTAATACTTATTCAACATTTTTCAAATACTTGTTTAACATTTTAATACTTATTCAATTTTTTGTAATACTTGTTCAACATTTTTCAAATACATATTCAACATTTTTTAATACTTATTCAACATTTTTCAAATACTTGTTCAACATTTTTAATACTTATTTAAAAATTTTAAATACTTGTTCGACATTTTTTAAAATATTTTTTTGAATAGTGTTTATTGTATACTCCCTCCGTCCCAAAATAAGTGACTCAACTTTATACTAATATTGTCTTAAAGTTAGTGCAAAGTCGAGTCACTTAATTTGAGACGGAGGGAGTATATATGTAGAATATTTTAAAATATAAATAAAAGTACAAAAATAAAGCAAAAATGAGAATAGAAAACAGAAAAAAAGACCTAGAAAACAGGCCTTTGCCTCCCGCGCTGATGGGCCGAACCATCATGGGAGACGTTCCCGTTTGCTCGCGTAAGGCGATAAATAGGGGTGCCCCGACCGGACAGCCTACCCCTCATCATCATCAAAAGAAAAATGAAAAAAGAAAAAAGGACGACCGGACAGCCTAGTCTTGCCGTTGGTGTAGTGTCAACACGTAGAGTGGAGCCTCTGTTTCCCGCACGTGGGAGGGAGGCTTCGCCGGCCCATCACCGCTGCCCACGCAAGGCACCTTCTTCACTTGAGCGTTCCTTGGAATTTCCTGGAGAAGAGCTGCTCCAGCCCCCGCCCCCGCCCCCACCCCCCGCCCCGGGTTTCGGCCGAATCGATCCCAGGAAACGAATCACTGCCTACCACACCAATTCCCCCGCAGATCCTCCGCGATTGATGAGTATTCCTCCCCCACTCTCTTGGTGGAGCGACTTGGATTTGGATGCGAGGGAGCTCCCTTCTCTCCGATCTCCCCGCCCCCCGTAAACGCCTTTCGCCTCCCGCCGCCGGAGATAGTCCCATGGGCTAGGGACTCCACCTGCAGCCACCAGCGGCGGGCCGGAGCCTTTTCCGATCTGCCCGTATCCTCTTTTCGCTCTAGAAGCCCCTCAGCTGTGTTGTTGGAGCCTAGTGCAGTATATCACAAGTGTTGTCAATAGTTACTCTACAGCTTCCGATTGGCCACGCGAATGCTGTGTCCGGATCCCTCTTTAGGTTGTTTATTTAACTTGGGAGGGTAAGGATTGGCTTAGTTGTGTGTGTCTTTTCGGGCGATTGTTACCCAGATTGTACTGTGCCAGCTCAGCTTCTTGTTTATCCTGGGTTATCACTTACTGTGAGTGCTGAGGAGACAAACTGAAGCTTTGATTTGTTCTTCCCATTTGGATATCCTCTATCGGGGACATATTCTTGGCAACACTCTGCTGCCCTCTAAAAGATATTCTTTGCTCTGAATTGATTTCCTTTGTGTTAATGTTACTAATAGTGGTGAGGACATATTCCCACCTGCACAGCCAGTTGGAAACATGGGTTCCTCGCAAGAATCCACATTTTCATCTGCCTCAACCGCCGCACAAGTGAATGCTTTGGGCTTACTACCTGTCTATGCCAAGGAGCTTATTGCTGGTGGTGCAGCTGGTGCATTCGCAAAGACTGCCGTCGCGCCACTTGAGAGGGTAAAGATCTTATTGCAGGTATGGATTGCTTAATCATTCAGTTCCAGTTCTGTTGCTTGTGGTGATTGCATGGGTATTTAGCTCCTTTATTAACTTAGGAGAACATGTCTGCTGTTTCTTTCTAGACAAGAACCCAAGGGTTTCAATCCCTTGGGATTGTCCAATCCTTGAGGAAGCTGTGGCAATACGAGGGAATTCGAGGTTTCTACAAGTAAGTAAAGTGGAGAAAACGCCTTATGCTCTGACTGTTGAATTCAGCACCTTGATATTTGAGTTTTTACTGGTAAGTTCAGCATACTTATTTTGATATTTTATTTATCGTTTATGCAGAGGAAATGGTGCGAGTGTGCTTCGGATTGTTCCATATGCAGCATTGCATTACATGACATATGAGCAGTATAGGTGCTGGATACTGAATAATGCGCCATCAGTGGGTACAGGACCTGTGGTTGATCTGTTCGCTGGCTCAGCTGCTGGCGGAACTGCAGTTCTGTGTACCTACCCTTTAGACTTGGCTAGGACCAAGCTGGCATACCAGGTATGTACTACCGTGCTGATCATTGCTTTTCTTTTTTGTATATGTAATAAAGAGTCTCCTTCAATGGAAGTGATATTGGACTAATTTCTTGATCGTCACATTGGCTCATGGTTATTCTTATTAATTTGCTTCACTAGGTTTCAAATGTAGCCCAACCTGTCAATTCATTGGGAAATTTTGGCCGCCAACCAGTATATAATGGTGTAAAGGATGTTTTTAAAACTGTTTACAAGGAAGGAGGTGTACGATCTTTGTACCGTGGGATAGGTATGTCAAGGCTATCAACTTGCGAAATCATGTCTCTTATAGCCTACTCAATCGGTATCACTTCAGCTAATGTTCCATACTTGCAAAGCTTTTATGTTGTAACAAGGGTGCTATAAATAAAGTTCAGGTTAATGCTTGGAATGCATATGCAACTCTATCTCATCCATATCTGGTATCACTAATTAATACTGCCACGCACTGGCATAGTGGTATTAGGTGACCCTAAAAGCAATTGCGAGGACTCAATATATGAGAGTAGTTTATGATGGACTAACACATGAATATTCTGAAAAATATATTTGAAATTACATACATTACTGTGTCCAACCCTGATCGGTATTTGAAACTATGTACCACTTAGTACTCTACATGTGAAAAATCATGTATTTAAATGTTATGTGAAACTCATCTGGGCCATAGCATTACACTGCATGACAATCGAATTTCTATTATCTGTCAGGCCCAACCTTGATCGGTATTCTTCCATACGCGGGTCTGAAATTTTACATATATGAGGACCTAAAATCTCGTGTTCCCGAAGATTACAAGAGATCTGTTATATTGAAGCTCTCTTGTGGGGCTTTGGCTGGTCTTTTTGGACAAACCCTCACTTATCCACTGGATGTTGTCCGAAGGCAAATGCAGGTATAATTCACATTGTAGTCATGATAATCTATGGATTGTAAGTTCGATTGCAATTCTGATTAGCTTCTCTGCTGTCATATGTTCAGGTTCAGAACAAGCAGCCCCAGAATGCAAATGATGCCTTCCGCATAAGAGGAACATTTCAGGGTCTCTTTCTTATCATTCGGTGCCAGGGGTGGAGACAACTGTTCGCTGGCTTGAGCCTTAATTATGTCAAGGTAATTGAGGATTAGAAGTGGCAGATATCGTATACTCTCACTTTTTCTTGAATTGTATCTTAAATGTGTAACTTCTCTAAAAATCGATCCATTTCAGGTTGTCCCTTCAGTTGCTATTGGTTTCACGACATATGACATGATGAAAAATTTGCTGGGAGTACCTCCACGCGAGAAAGCTCATCCGTTGACTGGTAACAGCAACAAATGAAGCAACATCGACCTATTTGCGTTGTGGGTCTCATTTGTAAGCTATGTTGCATATGATGGTCTTAATAGCAACTTAACTGTTACATTTGTAAGAATGACAGCCCAGTTGAGCATTTGAGCTGCTCCAGACTTGGATATGATTGTATACTGATTGTGCTTCTTGAATAATTGAATTGATAAATCATTTTATTTGTGATTGCCTTGCATCGGCAATACAATAGTAAAAATGTACAGTACTAGTTTTGAGCTGCGTTGTCGAACCATTCGCGCATCCGCTGTCCCATAAATTGTATTTCTGACATAGGTCAGCAAAAATGAAAAGGTGAACCCTGGCTACCATCAAGTTTACGAATCAGTTCCCTATTGCCTCATTTGGCTCAAATCTTCTCATTGGCATCGCAAGGTTCACATGAAGATCTTTCTCTTCTTCGTTTTGGCAAGTTTTTTTTCCCTTTCTTTCTGTTTGTGCATGTGAAAATCATGTTATCTACAGCATAGAACCAGAACTTGAGTGCATCGTTAAGTAACATCATATTAACCAAGAGAAATTACACTGAAGCCTTGAAAAAGAAATTGAATTAAATCCTTCCATTCGCATAAATAGGATCAAATCCATGAGTGACAATAATTACACAAAAATGAAACACATTTTTTGTTGTTGCATCCATCAACATTAAGGACAATCCCAAAATGAAACAAATCTCAAAAGAACACACAAGTGCAAACTGTACATCATCCATCCACAGCCACCCCACATGCGGACCATTCAGTTTTGATGAAGACAAATGGATAAATCCGGCAGCTGACACGGAACTAGTCTTTCTTCTTGTCAGCTGGGGAGCAGAACCTCTCAAAGATCATGGCGAAGAATCCAAGGAAGTCGATTCGGTTCTTGGGGTTGTCTTTCTCCACCTCCCGTTTTTCTTCTTGAGCTGGAGCGTCAGTTTCGGCAGCAGCCTCGACTGGAACTTGAGTTTCATCCCCGGTTGTTTCCTGCTGCTGCACAGCTGCCACAACAGCCTGAATTTCTTCCACGGCCTGGTCTAGGATGTTTGAGTCTTGGGTCTTGTCGGCAGAGGTCTCGCCTTCTTTTGTCTTGTCCTCGGCCTCGGGTTCTTTCTCTTTGGATTCTGTATAGTAAATAAATCAAAGATGACCCAAATCGTCAAAACATTACTAGTACCAGTATTAGAGAAGTTTGATGATGCAGCAACAAACCAAGTACTTGTCAGGAAATATCTTGTTACTCCTAATTGTACAAATTAGACTTGCATGGATCAAAAGTTTTTACCACGTTTTCCCAGATGTAAAACCTCAGCAACTTTCTCCATGACTTCTGGGTGGTTCTTAACCTTGTCGAGGACCGAATTGACTTTCTCCATCACATCAGGGTTGCTTTTCACCTTGTCTTTCGCCTTGTCGAGCATTGAACTTAAGGCATCCATGTCCTTCTGTCCTTGTTCTTCACTTCCTTGACCTGAAGAAATTAACTAGTGTTGAGAGACTATACTTGGCATTTCAACCACAAAAACTTTGGTATTATCCATTTGATGTCATGCCATCAAGAAACTGTAAAGCCCAAAGTTTGCATATGGACGAGACGGATCTTAATATAGTAGTTAGAGAAACATTAGGAAACTTTGGTAAATCGGATCTCTCAACAAGATGAAAGAGATTGAGAGACAGAAGCTTATCTAGTATAGGTATAGTATAGTATAGGCTGAATCAATCAAACTACTAGTGAAGAGGAGGAAGAAAGAGCCTTACCAGTTGGAATCTTGAGATTTGAGAAGGTTGCAATAAATGGGGAAAGCTAAGGAGACAGAAGGAAGCCGAAAAGCACGACCTAATAATTTGTAGGTATGAGGAGCTCAGGAATCCTGGGTTTGGATCTCCGAGTCAGGGCTGTAGCGGAGCTCCTTGATCTAGATCAAGAGAAGCAGGCTAATGTTTTGGGCTGGGCACTATATATACAGGAGAAGAGTGCCGAAGTGCTCTAGTAGTATGGTAGGGCAGGGCGGGGCAGGAAGGTGACAGCTAAATACACTACTTCTCACACACTGGCAAATTGCAAGCATTGATTGATTCTAGTATAGTGGTTGGTGGGCATTACTGCTCGCTCGCACGATGCAGAATTTTTTGCATCATATATACAGAGTGTCATTTGGTCCAACTGGGTCAAATAAAATACGTACGTACTCATCAAGGTTCTGTCTTTTTAACAATAATATATTAAATACAGTAATACTCACTCCGTTCCTAAATATTTGTCTTTCTAGAGATTTCAACAAGTGACTACATACGAAGCAAAATGAGTGAATCTACACTCTAAAATATGTCTATATACATCCGTATGTGGTAGTCCATTTGAAATATCTAAAAGACAAATATTTAGGAACGGAGGGAGTATATTTCTACATTTGTTTTACTTGATCCGCGGACATAAGAATATACGGCGTAACAGTTGGACCTTCCTGCCCTGCGTTGTTCAGGAGTTTTGTTTCTGTTTCCATGCTGGCCGAATTAAGGATTTGGTTGCACGTACAATATGCGTGTGTATCAAGGTCAACTACTCCATCTGGCACCGGCACATGGACGCCAGCTACGACGACACAGCAACAACATTGGATCCTTGAGCTGTAAACTGCCTCTTCATCAGAATATTATTGGAAAGAAAGAAAAAAAAAATCCGACAAAGTCTCTGCTCACAATCAGGGATGTTCTGAATAGTAGTATTTTAGCCTATAAACATCGCTTCTTTGCGATTTCGGATCACGAGTGGCCCTCTATTCTATTCTATGGAGAAAACACAAGCTGGAAAACGCTAGTATCAGCTACTCCAGCGTCCTGCACAGCACAATCATTGTGCACAAAGTTACTTTTCCTTGGAAGTAAAGCTAAAGACAGGCCGCCAAAAAATAGCTATGAAATGCTCAAAACTAAACTCTAGTTTGATGCTTGGGCCGGGCCGGGCCGGGCCGCCGAAATAGTAACCTTTCAAGCCATCATTTGGATCAAGTTTTAACATAATATTCATATTTATTAAGTCACAGTATCAAACATCCAAAACTCAAATTTCAGTTTGTTTGATTGTTGCGCAGGTTCAAATAAACATGGTACCGTTAGAAAAAAACAGCATGCATAGTGTGATATAAATCTCACATGATCCATTCGCATGACCTGAATCAACCTACTCTGGGAATCATGGATGGAATTAACTTGTGCAATCACTACCTGTTACGTCTCCCTTTTGTAATTAATCACATGCCTCGTTGATTTCCTTCTAAGGCCATATCAGAAAAGGATATCTCACCTATACACAGACTAGCGTTTCCCCCCATTTTCCTATGCGTTTTATGCTTAAGAAAGCGCAGAGTGAAGCAAACATCTATGTTCAAGTATCTACTTCTGCAACATAAAAAAGAGAGCATGTACTGCCTCCTGAGTGATGTACAGTATTTTTCTGTATTTTCCCTAAACGTCTGTCTCAGTTTATAACTGTTTTTGACCTAATTGGAAGGTGAAAGCTGAGCTGAATCATATATAGGAGTATATATTTTTCCATGTGAAATGGTCAAACAGAATCAACAGAAGGTGACAGCAATCGCAAGGAAATTTGCGATATTTGCAGGTCCCGGAAATTTCCGTTTCAAGTGGCCCCGAATTGAATATTACTGTATGTACCTAGTTCCTTCGACAGGCTCGTTTCTGAATGGCCTCCAACATCCTCCTTGGCTTTCTCAAGAATGCCTGAGCCCGTCTCCAAGATTGCTTCAATGCCGGCGTTCACATCCTCTTGAACCTTTGCTGCCCTCTCTTCAGCGTCTGTAGATGAGGCCCGAAGGTCAGGCAGGAGGAAATTATTAAGGTTACATGTAGCCAACTGTCTGTCAAGACTTGGGACAGCCAATTTGGGAGAAATGTGCAATGCATTAAAAATTCTGAGAGCTAATACGAAAATTCTTAAATTACATCATTTCAACTCTGAAAATTTATGGTTTGATTAAGTATTGCTGTTATATCCACCATCCAGCTGTCAGGTTGATGTCAGTGTCAAAAATGTTCTTCTTCTGGCCTAAACGCAAATCTCCTTTTCAGAATAAGTATTTCTGTTTTCTGAACCTATTTATTCATCAGAAAAATAAAAGGATACATTAGCGATTCTATTTTCATTTATTTGACTCACGAGATATCTTTTACTGAACTGACCATGGGATTTGAGCAACCAAAAATACTCCTAGTGCCTGTGTCGATCAGAACTCTACTGCTATCGGTTAAGTACTTGTTATGACAAACACTATGAACGGTTCAAGAACTGAGATGAAGAAGAGGTTTGCTGGAAGCCGGAAAGGCATTCTTGAAACGAAATGACTAACCATTCTTGGCTGATTTGATGCTTCCTGCAAGGGCACCAAACCCACCCTTGGCGCGATCGAAGAAGTCGTTCTTCCCACGGCTATCTTTGTCCTTCTTGGGCGATGATGCATCGGTGTTTTTCACTTTCTTGGAATTCTTGCGCTGGAAAAACATTTCGTTCTGTGCTTCCTCTTACACTGCAAGAATTGGTGTAGGAAAAAGCATGTAAAAAACAACATACCGCCTGCAGCGTGCTCAAGAATGCTAAATGCTACAGTAATTTGTATTGATTTGCTAGTCCATTATTCTGAATAGCTTGTGTCTTAAAAGGTGGTACAGGATGAAAACAGGAATCTCCTTGTAATAGCTAGCTTAGTTTTGAATTTTGAAGCAATCCATGGTTGTCCTCCTCCTCGAAAAAAAATTTGGTTGTCCTGATCTGTATTGCCTCATGTACCAACCAGGTCCGTTCATGGTTACTGAAATTTGAGGAGAGGGGGACCCAAGGAAAATGCGCCAAGGCTCGAGAGTCGAGAAAAGATAACAACAAACAAAAATGATCCGTCCATCTAACCACCTATATAACTCATTAACACCCATCTAATCATTCCAAAAGGCGCTAGAAACAAAGGAGAAAAAGAAAAG